AATTACTAGCGAAAAAAACCGCTTATCAAAACATTTCGGGTTATGAAAAAGGCACAGCTTATCAGATAAAAAGCTACTCCCAATCAGAGACCAAGATTAAGCAACCAAAATAACTGCCAATAAAAGAATTTGAAAATAATAGCAGCTCCTTATCCGAACTCGCAACCCGAAAAACTGACCCGGTATTGCCAAAACCCTAATACGTTTCAGCGCTCTATGTGGTTCCCACGTAGCCGCCGCTTTTTACCAAACCTAAGGAATCGCAGAGAAGTGCCGAGAAACTCTGCAAATGGCTGAAGGGCTTGTTCTTCGAGGCACCATGCGTGCCCACACCGACTCGGTCACCGCCATTGCCACCCCGATCGACAATTCCGATATGATCGTATCCTCTTCCCGGGATAAATCAATCATTTTGTGGCATCTGACCAAGGAGGAGAAGACTTACGGTGTTCCTCGCCGTAGGCTGACCGGGCACTCCCACTTCGTTCAGGACGTCGTTCTCTCTTCCGACGGCCAGTTCGCTCTCTCCGGCTCCTGGGATGGCGAGCTCAGGCTCTGGGACTTGGCCGCCGGTGTCTCTGCCCGCCGATTCGTGGGCCACACCAAGGATGTGCTCTCAGTCGCTTTCTCAATTGACAACCGTCAGATTGTGTCGGCTTCTCGTGACCGCACAATTAAGCTCTGGAATACTCTTGGTGAGTGCAAGTACACCATTCAGGACAGTGATGCCCACTCTGATTGGGTCAGTTGTGTTCGCTTCAGTCCAAATACGCTTCAACCAACTATTGTTTCGGCCTCTTGGGACCGAACTGTGAAAGTTTGGAACTTGACGAATTGTAAGCTGAGGAACACCCTCGCTGGCCACTCCGGCTATGTCAACACAGTGGCGGTTTCTCCTGATGGCTCGCTGTGCGCTAGTGGTGGCAAAGATGGAGTGATTTTGCTTTGGGATTTGGCTGAGGGGAAGAGGCTGTACTCCCTCGATGCTGGTGCTATCATTCATGCTCTCTGCTTTAGTCCTAACAGGTACTGGCTCTGTGCTGCTACAGAGCAAAGCATTAAGATCTGGGATTTGGAGAGCAAGAGCATTGTCGAAGATTTGAAGGTCGACCTGAAAACTGAAGCTGAAACGGCGGAAGGCACCAGCACCAAGAAGAAGGTGAGTTCTGATCATTGTCATTTCTTCGAGCGTTTTACCTTTAAGAAGTCATTATTCTGTGATGAATTTCTTTGATTCCATTTCATGAGTATTCTGTGACTATGTTGATTCGTAATTGAATTGTCCCTATTGATGTACAAGTAGCTGGGTTAACCTTTTGCGGTCATGTTATTTTTATCTCTTGCTTTGATATTTAACTTCTGTTCGTTCGTTCCTGGTTATTTCAATTTCATTTTTCTTGCCCGGTTGAAGTCCTTACCGAGTTCCCCACTGTCTCTATCACGACTTCATAACCTCTCTCATGTTCTCAGTTGATTGATGTTCATAAGCCATCTCATTGTGCCATTATACTTCGTTCATGTGTTTGAACTATGAAATGAATGCCTGCAGTTTTATTTAATGCGTTGGAACAAGCATGCCTCCTATTGCTTCAAATACATGAGGCTTATGCTTCCGTCTGTTGATGCCATGTACTACTCCTTCCTCGTCCAATCTCTAATTTGTTCTATATTTCCACTCCAATTTTTTGTTAGCTTTTAGTGTTCTAGAATCTATTTGGGCGTTTGCTTTGTATGGTTGGTGGAGTATTGTATTCTGCTATCTCTACTGTAGTAATTCCTGCTCTTGAAAGTCTCGTTATATATGTGTGTGTATGTGTATATGCACAAGCTCCCCTTCTTCCATGGAAGTTGAGTATCATTTTTTTTTAAAACTAGTTCCACTGTAGCAAACTGTCACCTGAGGCTTTTTGACAGTTTGGTCTTGTCGATGATTGTCTTATTTGTCCTGATTATTATTTCGTATTCTTAAGTGGTTTATATCAGGGTCTTGCAAATGTAGGATATGAAGGTATATATGGCAATATGTAGTTCATTTGTTTTTTTGCTGGCATCTATAATGAAAGGTGTTGATATATTGTTTCCTGTCTGGCAGGTAATCTACTGCACTAGTTTGAGCTGGAGTGCAGATGGAAGCACCTTGTTCAGTGGATACACTGATGGTGTGATCAGAGTTTGGGGAATTGGACGTTACTAGGAAGAGCTATCAGAAAAAACTATGAGATGCTAGTCTGTTTGAAATTTTGATATAAATCTGAGTGATTTCTAATCTAGATACAGACCAAAAAGTTTTAGGTGGTTCTTCTGTGAGTTCAATTTGTGTGCTGAAGATAATGGCCTTGTGGCGGCCTTTTTATTTTTATTTTATCCAACTATTCACTTCAGTTATCATTCATTACAAGATTTTTCTTGATTAATCTTGTTTCCATCTGCTGAATGATAATTGCGCAAAACTAGATCTTTATTCTTGTATGTTACAACAGACTGTAAAACCATGTCTTGGGTTGCTTTCCCACAAAACCATGTTCTGGGTGGAGAACCTCTGGTCGTCTGGTGGGGAACCTGGGGGGTGCATTAATAGATGAGTCTTACAATGCCCAATAGAATGGATGGTTTGTTTACAGCACATATATATTGATTGCTGCTCCTTGGAAAGGGCCACGTCATTACTTTCACCACCTGGTAATCTTATCAATGTATATAGAAGGAAAGCCTAGTGCAAGTTATAATATCTTATTAATGCATACCCGAGGCTTGAAAGATTGTTTATCATCAGATGGTGGATCCAGTCTGGGCACCTAAGCATCAACACTAGAAGAGCTATGGCTTGGATGTCTCACGAATAGCGAAGACGAAGATCGGGTGATTCAAAAGAAAATCAAGCAAGTGCTTCAAAAGAAAATCAAGCGATGAGTGATTTCTTGCAGAAATCATCCTAAGATGTCATCAACACTGATTTAGCCTGGCTTAGTTGTGTCTTCACTAGCGTCTCAGTAACATCGTCTGATGTGGCAGCTTGGAAGCTACTTTCTTTCTTTTACTTTCTAGCTGCGTGCACGTATTTTTCTATGGAAGGTAAAACACACTCACTGTTTGAAAGTCGCACACTAAATGTGGGTGTTTATGTGAAAATTTAAATCTTAATTCATTACTCTCTCCATCTTTATGCACAAGGCATTTTTAATTGAATCTTGTATATTAATAAAGGTGTTATCTAGTTGAAATTACATGAAGTTACAATAATTTTTTAATTGTACTCCTAACATTGTCAATTAATATCTTTTTAGTTCTTCAAAATAAGGGTAAAATTGTTTGATTATTTAAAAATATTATAACACTCTATGTGGTGACAAAATAAACCTCTAAAATGTTCCATATAAAGGGATGGAAGGAGTACGTCGTAAGGGACTGATATTTTTTTACTAAACCCAAACCCTGTAGCTAAACTATCTTTTTTTGTTATAAAATAAGGTACTTTCTTTTTTTAGATGCATGGTTTTTAATATAAAATTTTTTGTTTAAATTTTTTTCTCTCTCCTATTTTGATATTACTTGATCACTAAATAATCTCCTAACAATGACTTCCTCTATGTAAAATTTTTAAAAGCATTAGTAATTTTAATGTAAAATTATAAAAAAATATAATTTTGAATCCCTGTACTTTTTTTTTAGTGTTTTAAGTCTTTACACTTTTATTTTTAATATTTTAGATCCCTCCATAAACAAAGTATAGGTGTAAAGACTTTGGAGGGATCTAAGACATTAACAAACAAAAGTGTAAGGACCTAAAATATTTAAAAAAAAATATAAAGATTAATAATAAAAAGTGAGCAAAATGCAAGGATTCAAAATCATTATTATGTCATTATGAGGAATTGAGGGAGTATCTTGTTAATATGAACAAAATTGCTCAGTTATTGTATAGTACATCCGCCTCATTTTATAAGATGATTTTCAGAGTGATGTGAAGTTTTTGCAAAAAGTAATGATTTATTAACGAAACTTAGGGCATTTGGTTTCTATTTTTAATTTTTTTATTTTTAAAAACAAAAATTATAAACTCATTTGGATAAGTGTTTTGAATTTAATTATTTTTAAAATTGTTTTATTTTTTGTTTTTTTTAAATGAAAACATATTAAAGTTATTTTCATTTCTTTTTTTGTTTTCAAAGCACACCACATTTGATTATGACCAATTTTTATAATAAACTACCACCATTAAGCGCGCTTGTAATAATTCTTACCAACCTACTTTTAAATTCTAAAACTGTTTTTAAATTAATATAACTAAATATATTTTTATTTTATTTTTTTTGAAAAACGGTTCTAAAAATTATATTGCAAAACAGTTTAAAAACAGAAAATGAGAACAGAAACCAAACATGATTATATTCTTTTCAATTTTTGTTTTATTTCCCCTGAAAATTGAAGCTACTTTTTATCAATCCTTATGGTTTCACTCGATTTTACTTTTAGTTCCTGTATTTTTTTGAATATTTACAGTCTATATAATTTTAAAAAATTGAATCACGTTTGTTTTATAAGTCTGTATAATTTCAGCTTTTTCCCTTTTTTTTTCCCTCTCACCAATGCTAATTCATGACCTTACGCTGTGTTGATATGATGCTGCTTCATCCTTGTCATCGGATACCTCATGAATTAAAAATTTAAGGATTGAATTAAATCAAATCATATTTGATTGAGTTTTAAACAAGTTGAAACTATAATAATTATTTTTCAAATAGAAAAAAAGGATTTCTTCAGTACATTAAGTGGGCGTCTACATAACTCATGAAATTGGAGAAATATTTCATTATTCATTAATTTTAAAAATTACAACTCATACATTTTTTAAATATACAAAAAAAATTACGCAAGTGCGTATTCCAGCAGCATATAATAACTGCCTCGAATTTATTATTCACCATTTGTTGATTAACAGAATATGACTTTTTTTTTTTTTTTGTATCTAGGGCATAACAACACTTGTGCATCAGACAAAGTTAATGAAATCACATGATTTATTTGGATACCGCTCAAGAAAAGTTTTATAGACATAAAAATTGTCATAAAATTTCACTATATATATATATATATATTCTATGGCATTAAGTACATCCGACAATGAAACCTTCATTGTGCCAGGCCGAAAACTGTCTCCATGCTACACAGGCCTTGGCTCAGCAAAACTGTCAGCAAAGAGAACTAATGGCAATTGCCAATATGTTGAAATCACAAAGAATCATGCCTCATCAGCCCAGGCTTGCAACTTCTCACTACTTTTCAAGTACAGCTACTTCCAACCCTCTTTGTTTTCCAACCCCCCAAAAAAAAAAAAAAAAAAATACAACGGGGCAGTCTTCGACCAAAACATGACCTCGGCACAAACCAATCACAGCCAGCCAGCATCAAATCGACCATTTTATCTTATAGCTACATTATGAGGGACGAATGCTCCGTTTGGTTGTTCTACCCTCTCTCCTTCCTTTCTTTTTCAGCAAGGAAGCAAGAGTAACGTTGAGAGACCCATCCTCTCCACCCCTCGTGTTTTCCGCTTCTGTCAAAAAATTCAAATCTATAGCTTGCTCATCAACTGGCTCTGATATTGCCTTGCCCTTCTTGATTTTCTTCTTTTTCAGAAAAGAAGCAAGGGTAACATCAGTAGGCACATTCTCTCCAATGTTTTTGGGTTCCATAGCACCATCCAAAAACATAGTCTGCTCGCAGACTAGCTCTGACATTGCCTTCCCATTGTCATCAGCTTCAATGATTGACATGTTCTTCAAATTGGAAGAATGATTGTGGACCAATAGAGTCCCTGGTGTAACATCAATACAACCTTCATCTAAATTCTTGTCTTGCATGAACGACATTTCTTGGTTTCTGTCATGACCGTGGCGCACTTCTTCAGAAAGCAATTCATGTCCCTTCTTCAAACTAAAAGGCATGTAATCACAAGTTCTTTTGGCAGCCCGACGAGATCTCCGTGATTTTTTTTACGAAACTACTAGCATAGGAAGCAGCCTGAGTCATTTGATCGGTATTTTTAAACTGTTTGTTTGATATATTGCGTATAAATCTAGCAAGAGTTATATTGTCTTCATCCTGACTTTCTAAAATCTGCATAGAAGATATGCTTCCAGGTTTTGGCATTTTATACTTAACCAGGTGGTCCTCTGCCGTTTCAACACTAACCATTCCATTGCGTTTCCCTGTCTTCTTTCTTTCCTTCTTTGAAGTAGTATTTCTGGCACCTTGCGACCTACAGCTGCACCATCAGATATATTTGCAGAGAGCATTGAGTTTCTTCCAGTTTGGTGTTTTGATGGGTTCATGGAGAGATTTTTCTCAGATTGCCCATCTGTAGTCCCTGCACAAGTATGGCTCTCGTTATGTAATTCATTAAAACCCTTCCACATTTGATTTGACTCCATTAGCTTATTGATATTATTATGCCCACCTAAATCCTCTTGGTAATTTGTTGTCATCACAACCGAGTCCAGTGGGGAATGATCATACACTGCTTCAACAGAATTGTCCTCCAAATGCGATCCAATAATTTTGGCTTGTGGACACCATGCCCACTACAAGGCTCAACCTTGTCAACCTGTGCCTTCTTGAGACAACTTTGAGCCTTTTTTGCACGTTTTTGGGGCCTCTTCTTCTTGGAAGCATTGCTACATTAAATAAATGAAATCATAAATAAATGCGAAGGACATTAAATAAAGTGTAGCCAACATTCAATTCCTAACAAAGTGAAGGGCATTAAATAAACGTGCAACTTCTTTACCCACTCTTAACATACTAAGACAATTTAACCCTAACAAAGCTGTAACTTGCTAATTGATTGGGAGAGGGAGGGGGTAAGGAGGAAAACAAACAAAGAAGCACTTTGAACCTTGACTTGCTCTTCCGCTTCTGAGGGAGGCTCACACAGCATCTGGATCAGGTGGTGGATCTATCATTGCCAAGGGAAGAAAATCATTTAGAGAAAGGCACGGCCGTTCAGACTCCCGATCAACAAAGTTACTGATTAAAGCAGATTTTTGCATCTTTCTAGCTTCTTGAAGCATAGGGACTTGGTCAGGACATAGAACCCGCCATCTCCTGATCAAAGACAAAATTATAAGTCATGAAAACAAAAAATTTAGGTGATAGTAAATTATATTTTTGTCCACTATATCATCAAATAAGAAGTCATACTTCCTGCATTGACTGTCAGTTCGTGGAGGCACATCTGCAGCAACCTTTGACCAGAAGAATCCATGTTGGCAATTGCTTTTTTCAACCTTGAATCTTCTTCCTTAGTCCATCCACCCCATTTCAAGGAGGGATCCAAACTATTGACGTATCTGAATGCTCAACAACTTTAGCAATAATCTCAAGTCATCAAATACATAAATTTAAAATTAAACATTCATTACCTGTCTCTGCACTGAGCTTGGGTCCGGCCAGGAACAAATTAGCTATCTCTGATTCCATTTCCGTCCAAAGAGATGGACGGCCACTGTTAACGCTCTCATCTTCTTCTGCAGTAAAGCTCCCTTTCCTATCAGGACAGAGTGACTTCTTCCATCTGAATATCAATTCGAACAATTGCATTAATTGACTAACTAGGGCAGACATTGAAAGAATTCCTAATTCCTTCCTCTCTACTAATAATCACATAACATTAATACAAAGATGAACTTTATCTGCATACTTTACTTGCAGAAACTACTAGTTTGTAGATAAAACCTATAATAAGTAAAAGCAGCAGCATTTGTCTCAAATAAAATATGAAGAAAGAAGGGTGCAGAAAACTGTCAGCAGATACTAAGCACATGAAACATAAATCAAAAAGCGTGTAACAAAAACAGCATCTCAATGTTTCTTGCATCAATGACTAAGTTTTATTATGAGAGTATCATATTGTTAAGAGATGAGGGTATCATTTTAAATTCAAGGATTTCAACAGTTTGTAACCATGTAAGAATTATAAGCAAGAAAAATTTTATCGGCTCCAGCAAATTCCTGTATTACTATGTCCCTATCATCCAAGGAAAGGAAACAAGCAATGAAATCTATCAATTCAGCAATGTACAAGTCACCATTCACATTTCTTTTAATAAAGCAAACAAGAACATTTCAAGATATATGGCATTATGCTTTGGATAGCATTAACTGAAAAACAATTCTCCAAGTGACAATGAGATAAAAGAAAAATCAGTTCAGCTGAGGTTTCAAATGGGAGGCAAAACAAATCAAAAGCTATGGGAAGTTAAATTTATGTCTTTAGGACATAGTAACATTTTGTAACGAAAGGCATGGTGCACTCATCCATCAACTACCAGCATATAGACGAAAGGCATGGTGCACTCATCCATCAACTACCAGCATATCAGTAAATGAAGAGTATGCAAGAAATAAAATGTCAGTTGTCCTATTTTTGGTATGCATATATTAAATCATAAAATGACTCATAACATAGCGGACCCACCTATTAGAGCATTGAGTTTCCGTCCCTTCGTTCTAAAACAGAAGCAACAGACTGCCAATTTGCTGACACCAAAATTGAGACAGCATAACAAAGTGTGAGCATCTTCTTCCTCAGTCCATTCACTATTTAGCATGGCAGGATTTAAACTCCTTTGGTATCGTGCCAAGCACTGAAATGGGGTCCTATTTGTTGTTCAAGCTTCTTGAAGCATAGGGACTTGGTCAGGACATAGAACCCGCCATCTCCTGATCAAAGACAAAATTATTAAGTCATGAAAACAAAAAATTTAGGTGATAGTAAATTATATTTTGTCCACTATATCATCAAATAAGAAGTCATACTTCCTGCATTGACTGTCAGTTCGTGGAGGCACATCTGCAGCAACCTTTGACCAGAAGAATCCATGTTTGGCAATTGCTTTTTTCAACCTTGAATCTTCTTCCTTAGTCCATCCACCCCATTTCAAGGAGGGATCCAAACTATTGACGTATCTGAATGCTCAACAACTTTAGCAATAATCTCAAGTCATCAAATATACATAAAATTTTAACATTCATTACCTGTCTCTGCACTGAGCTTGGGTCCGGCCAGGAACAAATTAGCTATCTGATTCCATTTCCGTCCAAAGAGATGGACGGCCACTGTTAAGCGCTCATCTTCTTCTGCAGTAAAGCTCCCTTTCCTATCAGGACAGAGTGACTTCTTCCATCTGAATATCAATTCGAACAAATTGCATTAATTGACTAACTAGGGCAGACATTGAAAGAATTCCTAATTCCTTCCTCTCTACTAATAATCACATAACATTAATACAAAGATGAACTTTATCTGCATACTTTACTTGCAGAAACTACTAGTTTGTAGATAAAACCTATAATAAGTAAAAGCAGCAGCATTTGTCTCAAATAAATATGAAGAAAGAAGGGTGCAGAAAACTGTCAGCAGATACTAAGCACATGAAACATAAAATCAAAAAGCTGTGTAACAAAAACAGCATCTCAATGTTTCTTGCATCAATGACTAAGTTTTATTATGAGAGTATCATATTGTTAAGAGATGAGGGTATCATTTTAAATTCAAGGATTTCAACAGTTTGTAACCATGTAAGAATTATAAGCAAGAAAAATTTTATCGGCTCCAGCAAATTCCTGTATTACTATGTCCCTATCATCCAAGGAAAGGAAACAAGCAATGAAATCTATCAATTCAGCAATGTACAAGTCACCATTCACATTTCTTTTAATAAAGCAACAAGAACATTCAAGATATTTGGCATTATGTTTGGATAGCATTAACTGAAAAACAATTCTCCAAGTGACAATGAGATAAAAGAAAAATCAGTTCAGCTGAGGTTCAAATGGGAGGCAAAACAAATCAAAAGCTATGGGAAGTTAATTTATGTCTTTAGGACATAGTAAACATTTTGTAGACGAAAGGCATGGTGCACTCATCCATCAACTACCAGCATATCAGTAAATGAAGAGTATGCAAGAAATAATAAATGTCAGTTGTCCTATTTTGAACGGCATACTACCATGGAAAAATTGTATGCATATATTAAATCATAAAATGACTCATAACATAGCGGACCAACCTATTAGAGCATTGAGTTCCCGTCCTTCGTTCTAAAACAGAAGCAACAGACTGCCAATTGCTGACACCAAAAATTGAGACAGCATAACAAAGTTGAGCATCTTCTTCCTCAGTCCATTCACTATTTAGCATGGCAGGATTTAAACTCCTTTGGTATCGTGCCAAGCACTGAAATGGGGTCCTATTTGTGTTCAGCAATGCAGCAATTTTAAAACCAGTCCCTATTGCCAATCTCTTGGATTATATGCAAAAGCAACTTGTCCTCCCTCACATGTCCATGGACTATGATTGATCAATGGATCTTCACAATTTAACCACCTGTTGGTATCAACCATAAAAAAACATACTGAAAAGCAAGTAAAGGAAATTTGCAATCCATGCATAATAGGGGAATCATTCTACAGTCTCAATTATGTGTTCAAGAAATGAGAATCACAGACATCTGTGATCACAATCATCACAGACATATTAATGCCACCATTGTTAAAAAAATTCATGTCATATACAGTCCCACCTGCATGATCTATGTTGATCTTGCACTCTTATGAAACCCAAAAGTGACAAACTGTCTGTGATGGTATCATCATAGATGCCCGCAATGCTCGAGGAGAAAGACATTCTTCACAAAAAGAACATAAACATGAAATAATAATCAAAGAACTGTGTAGAAAAGACCAAGAAAATGACAGGAAACAGTTAACAAGTCAAATAATGCACAAGCATATCTAGACTATAATGCATATGGCACAGATCAAAAGTTATAAAATGATTTGACTGGTCAATTATGTTCACGTCCAGATAAGTTCTTCGACAATTTGAAGAATTAAATGGTATCTTCAATCTTCAAGTTGAATGACAAGTAGTAGAAAATGCAAATAAATAAACTTGAGGATTTGGGCCAAATACAAAGTCTGGAGGAAAATAGGATTCACCCAAGCTTTTACTCTCTCAAGGAATATTAAGAAGTCCACAAAACACATATTAACATCTGTAGCAAACTGTTTCCAGCAGTTCAAGCTATAAGTCACACAATCCACAAGAAGATCAGATGTAGATATTTCTACAATCAGACAAAACTTGAATACCGCACGTAGAAAGGAATCAAATTTTACCATCACTATGTCACACAACATGGTCGATGCTTCTTCATTTGACATACAGCTATACCATGCAATGTTGGAACTGTGCTCTTCTATAGCAATCTGGATAGGCTTAGTATTGATGGCATCACTGAATACAATAGGATTTTCTACTGTATCAAAGAAAAGCTAAGATCACCTGGAATCCTCTCATGGCTTGTGTTTTCTTACACCATGGAACAAAACTTCAGGGCGTCTTGAAGTCTTGGGCTAATAAGTATATTAGAACTCAAATACAAGCATAGCACTCTAATGTCCAAAAAAGAGGACAACTACTTGGTCCATTTGTAAGGGCCATATTTGTTGCAGTATTCTTTGTTGGGTTGGGCCTGCTAGTAAAGTATTAATACTATTGGACACTTCACTTTTCTCTGTTAGCAGTAGAATGGATAGAAAAATTTCACAGCACCCAGCCTACCTAAATTAATATTGAAAGAGCAAAACAAGAAATCCTTTAACATTTGATGTTGCAATCTATTTCTGTCGAAGTAGGATCTGTCTTAAAATAAATACATCAGTCCAAATATATTTGTCAGTTCATTAAACCTGAAGACTGATTCATAATCCAATGATTTGATCATCAAACCGTATTATAGTGGAAAAGCATTTTCTATAAAATTTAGCACCTCATTGTTAAAAAAAGCACTAAAGCTTTGTGCGAAACATGCCAATGCATTTCTTAGAGGTTCTGGGTTCATGTAGCATGCAACCAATTTCGATAGAGCAGATGGAATTTATCCGATCAACAAGTTCGCTTCATCAATTAAGTCCAGTTTCATGGAAAACTAGCTGGTCAACCCAGTTTTTGACTAGCATTGACCATTTCTTCTAGAGGCTGGTTTGAAGGGTCATTCAGACTGACGACAGTCCAGCACATTAGGTTTGTAGTCAAACAGGCCATCTGGTCCAATTCTCTTAACACTGATAACTAGGTTCCTTTTTGCTGCCAATAAATACGAAGAGGTCAAAACTATTGGTCTGTTTTAATTGTTTTTTATATGGAAGTGCAAACATCAGCAATCTCACCCATGTAAAGCCTATAAAAAACATGCTGTGAATAAGTTTTGTCCACACTTTTCTCGTAACAAATTGGCTGAACATGATTTTTCTCAAACACAATAGAACAAGCAGAATAGTATAATAAGAATAATTTTTTTTTTTTGGTTTAAATCTCACAGATATGTGCTGAAACTCTTTCCCCACATATGAAACATATAACATCCAATAAACGTAGTGAATAATAAAAAATCAGAACTATGTTTTCATCAATATCAAGACATCACATGAATTGAAGCATTTTAAGTTCCAGGAAAAAAAGTGAAGTTTACAAATTGATAAACTCTTTACCTTGCTTCACATTCTGCACCAGTACGACCAGTAACATACTTGGAAGCCAACTGATCCCAATTGAATTCAGGCAGAAACTTTCTGATGTTCTCTGGCGTAATCTCAAGATCTTTAATAGATACAAGCATGTTATCAAAGTTATTTGCATATCCACACGACCACTCTGAACTGTCAAGGAGGTAAAAAAAAAAAAATCACAACTGAGGAAAAGGAGAAAGGTCAAATGATGCACTTTCCAATGTATGAATCCATGTTTCTTGTGCTGACGTACTGAAAGATAGATTCTTCAGTGCTAGTCTGAAATGGGCTCAAAACCATATATTATTTTATAAAATATAAATTCTTATACTTAAACAAATGATCAAACCATATTTATGCCTTTTATTCTAATATATATATATAATTGAATGTAACATTCACATATTATTCATCCATTACTTTCTATTAGAATATATTATTTTTAACTATTCTTTTTAATAATTTGTGTGAGGACTTGTAAAGCATGGTTAACATACTAGGTTACAAGCTATGAAACACAGACCCAAAAAAAGATGCGTCTATGTTTAACATGACATGACAACACTAAAGAAAACATAAATGAGCTTCAGATTGTCACACATCACCATATACATGTTAGTGTTCATGATCTCCAACTTATGATATATAATTACAAAAAATTGAGCAGTAAAATTGAGAGATAAGCCAAGTTTACACAGTTTAAGAGGTATAGATAGTTACTAAAGCAAATTTTCTGAAGATAAGTATAATTTCTAGAGCCTTCACTGCAACATACATGAGAAAAAAAGAAAATAACATTACCTGTCTTGATTTATTGACATTTGAAGCAAAATTTCTTGAAATTGTTGCTTTATTCCCTTAGCAAGATTCTCCCTCTCCACACTAGACCACTTTTTCCGATCCAATGAGAATGGAGATCGTTCCAACACCATCCTATATTTAGCAACATGAGCATTCTCAGCTGGGCCATAACACATTGGAGATATTTTTTATCATTAATCTGTGAAAAATTAAAATAGAAAAAATCTTAGAATTGAGAATTGCCTCTGTTTGTATAAGCTTAAGGAAAACTCAATCACAAAAAATAAAATATCATGCAGTAAACTAATTACAGGTAGATTAATAAACACTCTTCCTGTGCACTTTATAATGCTTTCACCAATCAAAGTACGTTCACTGTGTTTTCTTCCCAATCATGGCCATGACCACCAATCATAGATCTTTTATCAATCCCTTTTTACTTACCCCAATCAATTTCAATGATGGATATAAGTGACAAACATATTGGAAACAGAAACTTACAGGAGTTACTTCAATTTCATTAAATGATATTTAGAATGAGTAAAACCCAACAACTAGCTAGTGCTACTCAGCCATTGAATGCACACCCAGTGATTTCTTAACATAAACTACAGCACATGCTTTGGAGTGCAGTAATGGAAAAAGTATTAAAGACGATGTTTCTCGACCCACCTTTGTGGTACTTGAAGCAGTAGACTTTTTTGCTGATATTAACAGTATGCGGGGATCCTTTTTCAGTGATATAGCTTGCCCTGTTCTTCTTATGCATGAAACCTGAAAATCTTTAAGAAGTTTAACTCTTTCCCTTAACTGTTTGTTTTCTTGAATTTTTGCTTCCATCTGAATCAACTTACTTCGCAGTAACTTCTGGAAAGATCTATTCTTCTTGATTGCATCAATAAAAACCTGAGCAGACAAAGGAAATCTTGATCTTTTGTCCAGTAACTTGGATGGCTTGCAAGCCTTGGGTTCACACCTTTCATTGATGTTACAAGGATGTCTCTCAACTTCAGCAGTAGTTAATAAACTGGTGGTCTTAATAGCATCCTGAGAAACAGGGCATGATTCACCGGGATCTAATCCCTTAGATGCCACGCTGTTATCAAATTCCTCCTCAGAGCCTAGACCTGAGGTATGAGCTCCCTCAGCCATTTTATCCACATTATCTTCATCAGGGCCTGCTATTTTTAGAATCCAACGTTATTCTAAGGATTCAGGAAAGAGAGATGGATATAAATAGACATAATAATAAAAAATATAATCGAAAGAATAAAAACATAACACTACACACTATGGCCAAACAATACAAAACGCCCAAACATACAAGAGTAAAAGTTAGTCAAGTCAGTGAAAAAAAAATGATTGGACCAACCAAGCGATGAAGAGTAACGTAAGAATCAATCGTTGTCATCGAAATGTTCAATGCAACTATCAATTAGCCCAAAACAATATAAGAAAGAGAAAGTTCAAGGTCCTCCCCCCCCCCCCCCGACAGGACATTTGGTATTAGTATTTGGAAAGATAAACTCTCACAAATGCACCAATAATCGAGGAGCAAAACTAAATAATACTCAATTCCAATCACCACCTATATTTAAAACAAAGCATGGAAGCAGATATTGCTAAACTTAACGGCAAGTGGTAAGCAGCCAGCCACCACGATACACCATCAAAATCAAATTTATCATGAAAAAAATAAATGAATACAGGATGCCAAGCAGCCTACCTCTTTCATAAGCAGAAAAGCGTCTCATAATGGCACGGAGGGTTTCCATGTCATCTTCATCATCATCAGACAAAGAAAGCGCCGGAAGAATTTTCAATGGCTTGAATGACGAAGGCTGGTAAAGCTCCTGCACTCTTTTGAGATACTGAAGGTCCCTCTGCTCGTCGTCAGAGTCTGACACGGGGACGAGAGCATCGCCGGGGCCCAACAGCGGGTCCGATGCTTTGGGAACCACCGCGTCTGCATTATAATCATCGTCGGGAGCGACAGTAGAAGATGGTTTAATACCATCGGGGTTAGTGCCGGCGATCATGCAGGCTCGTGCGAGGGCTTCCATGTCCTCCTTGAAACCGTCATCGTCTTCGCCGGAGGAGAGGTCATCTTCGTCGTTTTTCGCGGCACGAGGAGCCATTGCGCGTTGCAAAAGAGAGGCCACAAAGCAGAAACTAGGGTTTTGCAGAGAAGTACGGAGGAAGAGGGAAGAGAGAGAGAGCGTTGCAGTTGCTTGGGGAAGCTTGAATTGAGGTTTGCGAGCGCTTCGCTGCGTTATAACGGAAGTCTGCTAGCGGATGGTTTCTTGATGCGTCAGGAGGCGCGAGAATCAGGAGAGACTTGTTTTGGGTTAAGATTGGGCCTCGGTGGAGATACCTAAATAAACCGACTTTATTTATTTCTTTTTCAAAAATTTAAACCGGCTTCGAGCAATATTTTATTTCAAGCTAATGGAGTTCCAAATGCTTTTTTATTATTATTATTATTATTATTATTTTAAATTTGAAGCGGGGCAAAGATCCAATTTCCTTGAAGTTTAATTTTAAAAATATATGTAATAAATATTTCTCTTAAATAAACATGTAAACATGATGAGTTTTGAAATTTAAAGATTAATTTAAATTTTGACATATTTTAATAAATTATAAAGTGAAAACCTTTCTATTTCTTTATCATCATTTTCCCTCCACCTCTCTAACCGTAATCATTCATCAGATTCATGACTAAAATAGATTCATTTAATATAATAATATCACTAGTTGTGATTAGAAAGTGGAGGGAAAAGAATAATAAAAAAATGAAGAGATTTGTGTCCATAACTTACTATCTCTTATACTTTTTATAAAAGAATTTTAGGATAATAATCATGATCCTATTTATAAGAAACAATTATCTCTTATTTAGAGCATTTATTATAATGTTCTGTTAAAAAGAAGTATTTATTAATACGATCAATTATTAAAAGCTTAATGACATACTTTTGTAATATATTTATTCACCCCCTAACTATTTTTAACTACCTTTTTTTATCTTTTTTCTCAAGTTATCTCCACAGCTGACATTTATAAATTAATTTCTTAAAGAATTAGAGTGTCGTTTAAGAGATTGTCCTCTTTTGGGAAGTACTCCCTTGCAAGCTTCAAAAATCAAATTCTAAAATGTACTGTTTCATTAATTATAGGAATTATTTAGTTCATTTTTTTAATTTCAAATATAATTATTATACTTAATCAATTCTTTGAAACTATGTGAATTGATTATTTTCTTTTATATTTAAAAACAGATGGATTACTTGGTAGATTATATTATTTCTCTTAAAAAATATACGATTTTTTTTAGATGAGATGTTAAAAAATAGGAAAAAAATACTATATAGGTCTCATAGAGAAAAGTTATTTATAAATAAGTCACACAAAATTTTAAAACTATAATCAAGTTCCTTAAAACATGAGTGTAATTTGAAATTGAAGTATAAAGATAATGTTGTTCTTATTAAAAATACTAAAATTGTAAAATATTGAAATAATAATTATAAATTATTAATGAAATAATTGTAAATAATTAATATTAAATTTTGTTAATAATACATGATCAATTTAATAATTTGATATGTGAATTTATAGTTGTAAAATGTTAAAGTAATAGTTATAAATTATTAATGAACTAGTTGCATAAAATTTCTATTAAACTTGTAATACATAATCTATTTAATTATGAGATATGTGAAATTATAATTGTGAAGTTACACATAATTTTTCGTAAACAATACACAGCATTTTTATTTTCTTCAATGAATGAGTTTTTCCAAAAAATACTCTTAATAAACAAACAAATCAATCAATCATTTAACTTTAATGAGACACCCTATTAAATGAAAACAATTATAAAAAATGATGTTAATTAAAAATAATTAATTAAATTATTGGAGGCTGTGGTTTGAATAAAAATACCTTTTTTTTTCACCAAAAATTGAAGGGGAGTATGTAAATTTGCAGTCAAGGAGTGAAAGAAATAACAAATGAATCTAGTTTAACATATGATCCCAATAATATATTTTGATGGTATTTTATTTTACACTCCCTACATTTTTATTATAAAAAATTGCCATATATTTATTTTTTTCAAAAGCAAAACTGCAAATTTCAAAAAGTATTTATTATTTTTTTCAAAATTACCTCTTCTAAAGTCAAAGTTTATTTACACAAGATAAATTTGTATCATTAATTATAAAGATAATTTAGTCTAATTTTTTTAATTTCAGACATAATAATAGAGAAAATAATAAAGCAAAAACTAATAAAGATATAATTGTTTTCATAGCTTCAAAATCCTAACAGGTTCCAAGTGTTAATTGCTCCCGGGCCCCCACTCCGCGGCAATTCCACCTCTACATCGAGTCTAAACGTCACATTTTGTAAAGCAAAACTAGATATGATCTATTGAAACTTTCAAATAACCCTAAAAATCTATTTGATTAATAAATCTTGACTTCTTTTTTTTCAAAATCTATTTAATTATCGCACATGGAATTGATTGCATTAGAGGTGTAGCATGGCAAATGCATTAAACATTTAAATTCCTACTCTAAAATATAAATTTATGTCTCGTTTAAGAGAGGTGGTGTGACACAATGAGTAACTTTTGTGAGACTGCCTTTCAATTTCTTACACCAGTCAGTAACTCTAGGCCATCTAACACTGTACAAGTCTTAACTGTTATAGATTTACATGTAGATATGTAAATTTATGAATTGAACTTCTGTTCCTTCCCATCAAAGTTAGTTTATTAATGCCATCATTTTTGTTCTGGGTACATGTTGATGTTGATACAATTTTTTATTCCAAGACCAGTGTAGTTAGCGGAGCTAACACATCATTTTATTCCAAGACTAGCATTTTAAAGAAAACACGTGATTACATTTTCAAAAAGCTCTCGCTAACCCAATAAACCACACAAACTAGGATTCAGTAGTCAATTTCTACATTCTGCTTATTACTGCTTCTTTCTGGTGATAAGCTGCTTGAACCAATATGCAGACATCTTGGGGTACCTCTTGAGGGTTTTAAAATCAACATATGTAATGCCAAACCTTGATGTGTAGCCTAATCTCCACTCAAAGTTATCAAGCAAGGACCAGGCAAAGTAACCAACCACATTTGCTCCTTCATCAGCTGCTTTCTTTAGCTGTGTCAAGTAACCTTTGTAGTAATTGATCCTCGTGGTGTCATGCAGCCCCTTGGCAAGTGTTACATTACCCGGATCGTCCATGCCTACAAACAATAAGCATGTCACAGTCACAGATTAGTTCAACTCAAAAGATTAATGACATGTTTGGTATGTAGAGGAGTCCTTTCTATAATGGAAAAGGGACATAGAAAGTTAGGCTTGTGTGTAAAGCTGTCAATAAGAGCTGGCTCAACCTTTAAGATAGTTCAAGCTCATAAACTCACATATCCCAAATTGATCGTATTTTTCAATTGTGGCCCTCATTAACAGGGTTCAGGGTCAGGCCAGAAAGCACGCATAAATCGTCATAGATTAGTTCAACTCAAAAGATTAATGACATGTTCAGTACGGAGAGAAGTCCTTTCTAAAATGGAAAAGGGAGAGGGAAAGTTGGACTTACTTGTTTGGTATGTAAAAATTGATAGTACACTTATTCTCGTTCCTACTTTATACCAAACATGTCATAAGAGTTGGTGAAACTAGAAACAATGCCTGCTTTTTACTAACCATTTTCAGATAAGATCACAGTAGGGTTTCCATAACGTTCCTTGACATACATCAATGCTTTATACATGCCCGTATCATTAATTATAAAGATAATTTGGTCTAATTTTTTTAATTTCAGACATAATAATAGAGAAAATAATAAAGCAAAAACTAATAAAGATATAATTGTTTTCATAGCTTCAAAATCCTAACAGTTCCAAGTGTTAATTGCTCCCGGGCCCCCACTCCGCGGCAATTCCACCTCTACATCGAGTCTAAACGTCACATTTTGTAAAGCAAAACTAGATATGATCTATTGAAACTTTCAAATAACCCTAAAAATCTATTTGATTAATAAATGACTTCTTTTTTTCAAAATCTATTTAATTATCGCACATGGAATTGATTGCATTAGAGGTGTAGCATGGCAAATGCATTAAACATTTAAATTCCTACTCTAAAATATAAAATTTATGTCTCGTTTAAGAGAGGTGGTGTGACACAATGAGTAACTTTTGTGAGACTGCCTTTCAATTTCTTACACCAGTCAGTACTCTAGGCATCTAACACTGTACAAGTCTTAACTGTTATAGATTTACATGTAGATATGTAAATTTATGAATTGAACTTCTGTTCCTTCCCATCAAAGTTAGTTTATTAATGCCATCATTTTTGTTCTGGGTACATGTTGATGTTGATACAATTTTATTCCAAGACCAGTGTAGTTAGCGGAGCTAACAACATCATTTTATTCCAAGACTAGCATTGATTAAAGACAACACGTGATTACATTTTCAAAAAGCTCTCGCTAACCCAATAAACCACACAAACTAGGATTCAGTAGTCAATTTCTACATTCTGCTTATTACTGCTTCTTTCTTTCTGGTGATAAGCTGCTTGAACCAATATGCAGACATCTTGGGGTACCTCTTGAGGGTTTTAAAATCAACATATGTAATGCCAAACCTTGATGTGTAGCCTAATCTCCACTCAAAGTTATCAAGCAAGGACCAGGCAAAGTAACCAACCACATTTGCTCCTTCATCAGCTGCTTTCTTTAGCTGTGTCAAGTAACCTTTGTAGTAATTGATCCTCGTGGTGTCATGCAGCCCCTTGGCAAGTGTTACATTACCCGGATCGTCCATGCCTACAAACAATAAGCATGTCACAGTCACAGATTAGTTCAACTCAAAAGATTAATGACATGTTTGGTATGTAGAGGAGTCCTTTCTATAATGGAAAAGGGACATAGAAGTTAGGCTTGTGTGTAAAGCTGTCAATAAGAGCTGGCTCAACCTTTAAGATAGTTCAAGCTCATAAACTCACATATCCCAAATTGATCGTATTTTTCAATTGTGGCCCTCATTAACAGGGTTCAGGGTCAGGCCAGAAGCACGCATAAATCGTCATAGATTAGTTTCACTCTCAAAAATTAATGACATGTTCAGTACGGAGAGAAGTCCTTTCTAAAATGGAAAAGGGAGAGGGAAAGTTGGACTTACTTGTTTGGTATGTTAAAAATTGATAGTACACTTATTCTCTCCGTTCCTACTTTATACCAAACATGTCATAAGAGTTGGTGAAACTAGAAAC